TAGAGGCAAAGTGATCTCTGATCTTCACTCAACAACCGCTAAAACCTGTAGGACAAGCATCTGAACGCGAGTGCTAACTTACTGTCAATTTGTCCTTCGAGTGGCCCCGAAATGGTCTTCAAATGGCCTCATAGTGACTAATTGACCTCTGATTCGGACTTAACCAGAAAAACTTTAACAACATGCGGTTGGACTCAGCTGATCGACTTCTTTGGAAAATGTCCTTGATATGACGTTGAAGCCACCTTCAAATGTATTTTTTGACATATTTTCGATATTCTAGACAACTGTGTGTCGGGAAAAATAGGTTAAGCTGCTATAAATGTTTCCTTTTTCTCATGTACTTCCAAGCTTTTGTCCTCCAACCACCCAAGTGCCAGCTGGCGGAAGCAAAATTGGAGTTTAACAGTTAAGAAGCCTAATTGCCGGGGCACCGCGGTTGCTATGATAATCCCATTTATGAACTGCCTAAGGTTAGTAGAGCTGACAAAAGCCTCCTCATGTAGGTTGTTCCACAATCTCGATACCTTATTTTTCGAAAAAAAAAACATCATTAACAACTTTTGAAAGCACAGTTATCCAAAAGTTGCAGTTTAACCCTAGAACTATAGCTGCTTTAACTGAAATATCTGTTGGATCAGATGATTTACCTGCTGAAGCATTACAAACAACAAAGTTCATTCATTTATTTTCGTTGTTCAGTTCCTTAACTTTTTAAGTTTGGAACATTAATGGAACACAAACTTGGAAAAGGCGTTTGCCAAAAATTCAAAATGTGAGGGATTCATTTTTTTATTATAAGTTCGCGTCATAAAAAATGCAAAGCTGATAAAGACATATTGAAGTTTTATGTCATAATGTAATTACCTAAATAGATATCGAAGACCTTGTAGTTCTACATCTAACTGTAAGTTTGTAGATGAATCTCTTAGAAATCGAAATAGTTTAATCTTGCAGATGAGAATAAAATTTGCTCATCTGTACATTTTTAGCGCGATGCTTTTACCTGACGAAACCACAGAAGCTCAGTTGTGTGTTTGTTTTGAGAAATGTAGAAATCAAACCTATATACGAGGTTTGTCAGGAAAATACCTGTAAAAGTGGAATAATAACTTTATTTTACAATTTCAACATGATCTCCTTCAAGGTACTCCCCCTGAGACAAGATGCACTTCGGCCAACGCCGTTTCCACTGTTGGTTCGATTGTGAGGCTCTTCATTTGCCGTGTCGTTTCTGCCTTGATGGCTTCCACATCCCCCAAGCTCAGCTCCCGAAGCACCATTTTGCATTTTGGGAACAGGAACAAATCGCAAGAGGCTAAATCGGGTGAATAAGGCGGGTGTTCTGTCACGGTGATTGAGCTTTGGACCAAAAACTCACGCACAACTAGAGACGTGTGAGCAGGTACGTTGTCGTGCTGAACGATCCACCTACCCCCTTGTGCCAAATCCGACCGAACTCGAGCTACACTAGCTCTGAGACGCCGCAAAACTTCAATGTAGAAATTTCGGTTCACTTTCTGGTCGGGAGGGACAAATTCCTGGTGAACAGTGCCCCGAGAATCAAAGAAAACAATCAACACTGTTTTCACATTGAACATTGATTTTTTCGACCTTATTGCTCTCGGTTCTCCTGCTTGCTTCCACTCCATGCTGTGATATTTCAGCTGCACATCGAATTCGTAAAACCAAGACTCGTCTCCAGTGATGACCCGGTTCAGAAAGTCTCCCCTTTCCTCAATTTCCAACAAATCTTCACAGCAAGCAACCTTCCGTGCTTTCTGTTCTGGAGTCAAGAGCTTCGGAAGGATTTTTGCGCAAATTTTTGTCATTTCAAGTTTTTCTGTCAGAATTTCGTCGACTGTTTTGGGGATTAACAGTTCTTCAGCTAACATTCTGTTAGTCGACGGTCTTTAAGAACACAGCCCCGAATTCGTTCAACATTTCCCTCAGAGCTCGATGTGGAGGGGCGTCCTGAGCGTTGGTCATCTTTCACATCTTCTCGGCCTTACCGAAACCTTTTCAACCACTTGTTGACAGTTGATGTCGATGCGCTGTTCCTCGATCAGACAGCTCCATGCTGACGGCAAGTAAAGAAAAGGTTACTTTCAACAAGCACACGTAAATCCTACTTACTCGCAGAGCGCTCTGGCTCAAACTGAGCATAGAGAGAGAACCACCACCGGGCCACCCCTCCACAACGCCTTGACACGACGGCCCGAATTTTTTATACGTATTTTCCGGACAACTCTCGTTTTTTTTATATTAAAACTAAAACGAATGCCTAAGGCGTAAACACCCATGAGGGGGGGGCGGCGCCACATGGACTCTGGCGAGGGAACTCGTGTGCATGCAACATGCATACATTCTGGCCCCGCCTACGAGATCCGCCGGGCGGTACCTTTGCGTTAGACATTCAGAGACCGTCTACCACCTACGGACAAACAATCACAACATCCATAGCCAAGAGAAAAATGTCTCTTGGGATGGGATTCGAATCCGCGCAGACAACGGCGACTGATCAGGAAACCGAAGAGTCCAGCACTGCGGCCACCGCTGCTGCATCGTATAATGATATTGTCATCTATATTACAGAAAAAAGTACTGTGAAGAACTCATCCTGGGCAATCTGAGAAGAATGAAAAATTGAGGCTGTGAATCATATTTATATATGTTATTAATCTTTTATTGGAATCTATCACATTTGAAATAAATAGTAATGAAAGTCAGTTGAATTGTTTTATTTACAACAAGCCAATTTTACATTATTTTGCACATATTTTTTTAGGAAACACAAATTAAAAATTTAACTTTAAGTATAAACAAATAAAAATACGAGCCATTGACAGTAATGATAAATGACGTGTAGCGTTTTACGTAAGCCGTATGTCGTAGATAAAGCTATCGAGAAAAGACAGCTCAAATCGCTGCCATTCCATAAGGTGTCCAAATATGTACATATTTGTACTTTTGGAAACAAACTTAGCCGCATTTATCAGCGATTCGGTTTAGATATATTGTATTAGGTGTCACCTAGAGAACTGAAGATCTAATTATAGATCGTTTTACGAAAAAGGAATCCATAAAAATTATGTAAATGCTTAATTTTTCCATGAAAGGTACGATGGTGAACCGATTAGATGTTCACGACGAGCGTTACCACAGAGATAGACTTTTCGCAGCCTCTATTACGTAATATGCACCATACCAATATGTTCTTTCAACAAACCAATCAACTTCAACAAATCATAGAATATTTCTAGAAATTATCCCTTGAATCTTTGCCCATTTTTTTAAATGCCTTGTATAATACATCTGCATAAGAAAGCCGGAAAATGAATTATTTTTCATATCAGCCCTAGAGCCAGAGCAATCCTTTTCCTGAATAGGGAAGGTGATTCAGCCACGCCCATCATAAAATTCCAATACCGGAAGGGAATCAGAAGCGGGATATAGCATGAATATATAGAGTCGCTTGAGGACTGAGACAGAATGTTGATAGTGGTAGGATTTAACGGTGGAAAAATACATTTTATTATCAAGACTTCATGGGTTTTGCTAGTCAAAATGTTCAGTAAGTTTGTAGTATAAATGAACACTCAGAGGTACGAGATGTAAGAAGCATCTTTAACCAAATAAATTGTAATTGGTGGTATCTTGGAACATAAGTGTTTTAAGTAAAATAATATATAATGGGTGATTTTTTTGCTAGTATCTTTTTGGCAACACTGTTTTTGACAGATGACGCGTGAAACGTGTCTTGTGTCATTGTCAAACTTGTTCAGTTTGGTCTATAATTTAACCATGAATCGACTTACGAACGAACAACGCTTGCAAATTATTGAATTTTACTATCAAAATTCATGCTCGGTTAAGAGAGTGCATCGAGCACTGTTTCCAATTTATGGGCAATTTGGTCGGCCTGCTGAGGGAGCTATTCGGAAGCTTGTGACTAAATTCCGAACCCAGTTTACATTATTGGACATTAAACCACCAACACGCAGACGTAGAGAGAGGATTGAAGAAAATATTGCGGCTGTATCCGCCAGTGTTAGTGATAACCGTGAAATGTCTATTCGCAGCAGTTCGCAGCAATTTGGCCTCTGTTACTCCACTACGTGACAGGATTTGGGCGTAAAACCTTATAAGATACAGCTGGTGCAAGAATTGAAGCCACACGACCTCCCACAACGTTTCCAATTTGGTGAATGGGCGCTGGCAAAGTTGGAGGAAGATCCACATTTTTATCGAAAAATTGTGTTCAGCGACGAAGCTCATTTCTGGTTGAATGGGTACGTTAACAAGCAAAATTGCCGCATCTGGAGTGAAGACCAGCCAGAAGCATTGCAAGAGCTACCAATGCATCCCGAAAACATCACTGTTTGGTGTGGATTATGGGCCGGTGGCATCATCGGGCCGTACTTCTTCAAAGACGACAAGGGCCGGAACGTAACTGTGAATGAGGAGCGCTACCGTGCGATGATAACAAACTTTTTTTGCCCAAAATGGAAGAGCTGGACTTGGCTGACATGTGGTTTCAACAAGACGGTGTCACATGCCACACCGCACACGAAACAATGGCCCTATTGAGAGGCGAGTTCGGTAAACAGTTTATCTCACGTTTGGGGCCCGTCAATTGGCCGCCTAGATCGTGTGATTCAACGCCGTTGGACTATTTCTTGTGGGGCCATGTTAAGGCTAATGTCTAGAGGGATAAACCAGCAACGATTGACGCACTGAAAGCCAATATTGAAGCATTTATTCGTGAGATACCGGCCGATATGTTGGAGAGAGTGTGCCAAAATTGGACCTTGCGCATGGGCCATCTAAAGCGGAGCCGCGGCCAACATTTACATGAAATAATCTTTAAACCTTAAATTATATCGACCGTTCTATCGACTCAAATAAAGATTTAATCGTTTTTTCAAATTTTTTGTTTTTTTTTAAATAAAATCCTATACTTCTTAAAAAATCACCCGTTACAATGGGTAAGTACTCACATTGAATGTTGATGGTTGCTGGTGAACTGACGATCGGCGGCATCCCTCCTCCAACTTTTTCGGCGACACACCTGAACTGCCCTGCATCCCTTTCTCGATCCACGCGAGTGATGTACAGATCACCACCCTGCTGGTAGCGACGAGTGGTGTCCGATATTTTAGATCCTATTAAACATAAAAATGGTTCAGGAACATCCCTGTCCATTACGATATACAGCCTCAAGTATGGCATAATTTAAACAGCTATTGTGAAAATTTGCAGTTCCATTATATCTCATTTGTTGCTAACACTCTATTATTAGCTTGACCTGTATGCAACAGAATCCTTCAAGCTAATCTTCACCAATTTCAAGAAGAATAATTAACTTGAAAATTTGCACAGGGGACAAGGTGACAATACAATAACCCTGGAATTTGGAAGTTTTAAAAGAATTTCAGTTTTGAAATTTGGAAAAAAGTTGAACTTGAAAATTTGGAAAATAATTGGATAATTCGGAAATTTGTAATATAGTTTATAGAATAGTACATTTTGAAAAAATGCCAATTTCGAAATTTGAAAGAATTGTAAGTAAATTTTGATTTATTATCAAATATAAGATATACCAAAAATTGAAGCTCTTGATTAAGTCAGTACTTTTACAGTCGTTTTGAGACAAAAAATTTGGAACATAAATTATAGTTTGCAGAAACTAAAAAACTACGCTTTAATAGCAAATCGAACCAAAAAGTAGAGTATGTTTAACAATCAAGTATGACTAATTAATTTATAATAAGATCAATATAAAAAATAAGATATCAACCAAAAATGTAATTATAGTAAAAAAGCGTGGAGTGCAATTTATCTATATTTTCATAATAACCGCAATTTTGTAAATAGCAACTAAATACATAATTCCAACATTTAACATCAAGCACCCCACGCTTTTTTACTATGTTTGAATTTTTTGATAATATTTTGATTTTTATAGGTACTGATATCCCAAATTAATTAGTCAAACTTGAGTTTTGGACTTTCTATTGCAGTAACACAAATAATTTTGTACTTTTTAGTTCGACTTATCTTATTTTTTAGTTGTTTTCGAACTATAATTTGTTTTATGATCATATTTTATTTCTTGGACCAAAATTTTGACAGAGATAGTGTTAAAGACAATCTAAATCACCACTTACCATTCAACTCCCAATAGTAGGCGATACCTATGTTTGGAGTCACTTCACAAGGCAAAGTCGCCGATTGACCAAGGACTACTTCTACATCCTTGGGACTTTTTGAGAAAAAGGGATCTTCTTTCGCATGTACTGCACATTCTGAAACAAGAAACACTGTTATAGCTGCACTGTCTATCCAAATCAAACAACAAATATGTTTAAACTCATGTTTACTGTACGACTTTCAGCCACCACGGTGGTTTTTTTCGTGTACAATGACAATAATTAATGACAGTCTATAGTGTGTTTCGCAGGTTAATGAACATAAAGAAATGGTAGATAGTATGAATCGCGATATCTGGAAATAAAAAAGCTCCAATTTCCATTTTTACGGATATACAGGGTGATATATCCAACCACGCCAGATATTTAATACCACATTTCATCAGGCACTGTGCAACTGATTTTTTTTTATTTCACACGGCAACAGAGTTTCATAACAGTAACGTAAAACTAGACGCAAGGTTGAAAAATCCAGCGCCGGACAAAAATTTTTTCACTTTGCTATTTTTTATCAAAATCGGCACCTTTTAAGCTGAATATTGAAATGTTTGATTATGAGCAAAAAAGCCACTGTGAGGTGATAATTAATTAGACAAATAGATTGACTGCGCCTGTTTTAGTTTTTCATTTAAAAATGTTTACTCATACAAAAATCTTATTTTAATAAACATTATACCAAAATAATGAAATTAAAGCGATGATGTTTTGGAAACTCCAATTTCCAGGGTCGGCTTCACCTTTTTTCATATTTCCGTGGGTTTAATCAAGTGCAACGACGGTAAGTTATACTTTGAATTGATTATTATTTTGCAGAAAAAATAGCAACTGATGACATAAGTAAAACGTAAGATTAATGTGACACATCCTATTTAATTTTTTTTCAGTAATTATTGATTGACTTGTACCAACTGATAATAGCATGAATCCTGAGTATAACTCACAATAAAATACACGGGGATACAAAACTGAATCCGAACCTGAAATGTTGGGCTCCCAAACATCTTTAGTTCAATTTTAAACAGTATCTTGTAAAATGTTGACGAAACCAGGTTGATAACCCTTGAAATTTTGAGTTTTGTGTGACATAAACTACTAAGAATAAGATATTTTGAAAATAAATATTTAACTGTACATAGTCGAACATTTCAATATTTAGCTTAAAAATGGTGATTTTGATGAAAAGCAAAGTGAAAATGTACCAAATTCAACCCTGGATTTTTCAACCGTCTGGTTTTACGTTACTTCTAGGAAACGTTGTCATCGTGTAAAATTTCAACAAAATCTGTTCTTTAGTGGCTGAATCATGTGATCTTAAAGATTTGGCGTGTTTAGATAAATCACTCTGCATATCAGTAAAAAAATTAATTTGTAACCTTTTTGTTTTCACATGCGAAAAGGTCTCGCTTCATACTGCCTACCATTTCATCATGTCCATTTAAGTACGGAACACCTTGTATTTTGTTTATATATATATATATATGTCCAAAGAGATCTGAAGTAATCCGGGAAAACAAATCTTTTGTTTCAAAAAAAGCGTCAATAGTTACTGGTTAGCCTCTCGCTATAGTTCGTCAAGTCTACTGCCAATTTCAATCGATCGACTGCAAGCCGTAAAACGCTATGCTGTACTTATAGTATATAGACCAGGGTTTCCCAACCTTTTTTTTGTTTAGTTTTAATTAACACTAGAACAGAAAAGCCTGTCTGACATAAGTAAGTTGAAGAAAAAGGAACTAGTATTCGTAAAGCAAGAAAGGCAAGTGTCGAATTAACAGGCAATCTTTTGATCCAAAATTTCTCCATTGTTAAAAGATGGAAGTCATCTTTCATGGACGAATCAGCCTTCATTTCTAGAAATCCTTCCTGAACTTTTCCTGGTAATTGTGACACCATATTGGTGACTCTGAATTGATGTCTCGATAGTATGGGCGAAATTCATCTTCCAGCGCTTGCAAATGAGTTTTTATGACCGCCTTTAAATTTGCGTCCAGTATGTTATTTTTAATTGCCTCGAACAGCCGAGAAAAAGATATAACGTTTTCAGAAAACACTTTTTGGTTCCAAAGTTGAAGCTTTGATATGAACCCCTGAATATAATCATAATTGCTTATTAAAGTGTTGTATCTGCACTGAAGTTTCAAGTTTAGCTCGTTCAAGGAGTCAAATACCATACGTCAGTTAAATAAGCCAAACTCCATTGAAATGTGTCATCTTTGAGCATTGTCAAGAAATCGTGTTTTTCTTTGAACTCAAGAAAAAGAATTACCTCTTCTTTCAGTTCATAAAGGCGAACCCATATGTTGCCTTTGGACAACCAGCGTACCTCTGTATGGAACAGAAGAACTTTGTGATCAGAATCGAGATCCTCGCAAAAGTAAGGTAAATAACCGACTGTTCAAAGCGCTGCTCTTGGTGTAGTTTACAATCCTTTAAGCCCGAGTCCAAAGCTTGCCGACGAATAACACAATGTGTACTAGCCATTGCGGGATTTTTTCCTTGAGCTTTTTAACTAAGCCTGATCGTACACCTATCATTGCAGGTGCGCCATCTGTGCAAAGTCCAATGAGTTTCTTCCAATCCAAATCATTTTTTTCAACAAACTTTGATATCGAATTGAATATATCCCAGTTCTACTAACCTTAGGCAGTTCAAAAATCGTATTAACAAAATTTCTTTGGAATCATCATAGCAGCCGCGGTGTTCCGGCATTTAGGCTTCTGCCTGCGCGGCTGTTTCGATATAAAAAAAAAATCTTCAGATGCAGTACCGGCTGTCAAAGATTGGAAGTACAAAATTTTGTCGTGAATGACATATCCGCCGATGTGACGAATATAAACTATTAACTGTGCACAATTGACGATGTCGGTGGATTCATCGCAACTAATGGCAAAAAATGGCGATAATTTTACTTTGTTCATTATTTGTGACTTTATGTCTGCTGCAATGTAATCGATTCTACGTTTGACTGTGTCAATTGAAAGAGAAATAGACTCCATTTTTTGCTCTGCGTCTGCAAAAATTATCTGCGTAGCTTTCAGGACACATAGTTTTATTAATTCTTCGCCGATAGTATGAGGATTCTTTTGCTTTGCTATCATAAAAGCTATTTCAAATGAAGCTTCGAGATGCTGCGATACGCCTGTGTGATAACTTCCCAATTTATCCAGTCTCATCCGCTTGAGTGATTCTGCTTTAGAAGAAAAAACTCTTTTGTCTTCAAAACCAGAGTAGGATGCTGTTGCTTCAAATGTCTTTCAATGCGATTATGCCTCATGCTATCATTACTTAAAACTTTCATACATATCACACACTGAGGCAATTGTAACTTTTTCTATGAAGGTAAATTCAAACTTAACGTAATCTTCTTTTTTTCGCTGCTATTTTGCACCTATAACAGTAAAACAAATAAGTAATAAATAAATATGCAAAATACCTACATGTAATTACTAATTATATGCCCATTATTTTATCTTATTAACGTAATGTATTCAACAGTATATTGGCCACCGGGAGATTTATATTTTTGGAGGCAGGTTGACGTTATAATAGTAATTTTAAATACATTTGGAATCAATATTAGGTACTTAAAGTTTGTCGTTTCAAAATTATTTCGCCACTTGGTTGGTCTGATTGTGATGTAAAAAAGTCCCAATAACCGATCTATGAACGCGTCTCCACTCAATCAACAATTTAGTAAATTAAATAAAAATGGTAACTGAAGTTTGCAAATACACAAACTTACCTTTTAACAGTGAGACACAATAATTTGACACACTTAAACAAATTTCTCAACAAAACATGTACATCGAAACGTCAAATTTTTCGCAAGTTAGGGGAATGAATGTCACGGATGCTCATCCGCGTCTGGTAGGTCACAATTGTTTTCTAGTGATGAATGTTAAACGGAGCGCGGCGGGGGTGTGTGCGGATTTCATGTTGTGACTTGTCGAAACTTGTATAAACTGCGATTGACGACGCCGGGTTTTGAAACAGCGGTTGACAGAATAAGTGAATATGACATTTATTTTCTGATTTTATGCGTGTAAATTAAACATAACATTGTAGTGTTATTTGTTAATGTTGTTTGTTTATTTTTTTTGTTTCTAAAATGCAAACGCTTTCCGCCCCCCATCTCTCTATGCCCCTCTTGGGAGGCGCGCCCCCTGGTTGGGAACTCCTGGTATAGAGTGTCATAAATAACTTCAGAAGATGAATGTGAACATTTTCTCCAGGTTAACTTAGTTGATCGTTTGATCCTCTAATTAATCAGGTAGTCCTCTTGCGTGGCTACCATCGCTGTAACCAATTATCTTCAATTAATTATTGATTACACGCCCAGCAATACCTGAGCTGCATTCAACACCTGAATGCACTCTCCGTTATCTGTCATTTAATCTCACATGTCAACTGTTCCTTATTTTATCGAAACCGTTAAGTAGTTAAATTCATGGTAACTTAAAACTACCCTCAAGATACCAGAAGATTATTTATTCGAAAATAATTGTTTTTATACAGATCCTTTACAGAAAATAACTATAGGACTCCTAATCTAATCAGACCACATAATATATGTTTTAATTCACGTTTATTGTACAACGTTTTGGCAACCACAGTGGACTTTTTCGGCTATAATGACAATTACTGACAGTATTTGTTTATATATAACACACCACACATCACACTATTATGTTTTGAGAAACTAGTATCGACAAGGGCTCTACTTGAAAGATGTTTTTTTTTTTTTTTTTTTTATACTCCAACTACCACGAAGGCCTAAGGCCTAAGCACCCATTGGGTACCGTGGGGCTATGGGGGATACATGGGAAAGGGGGGGACGCCACACGGACTCTGGCGAGGGAACACGTGTGCATGCAACATGCACACATTCTGGCTCCGCCTACGAGAACCGCCGGGTGGTACCTCCGCGTTCGACAGTCAGAGACCATCTACCACCTACGGACAATCACAACATCCATGGCCAAGAGAAACATTTCTCCTGGAGACGGGAATCGAACCCGCACAGCGCACGGCGACTGATCAGGAGACCGAAGAGTCTACTACTGCGGCTACCGCTGCTGCCTAAAACAAACACACAA